GGGGGGGGGGGGGGGGGGGGGGGTATATTGAACTGAGGTGCAGAGGCAATGCATTTCAGCCCCCTCATCGCCTAATGCCATTTTATAAATGACCTTGACCCACAACAATGACGCAACCCCTCATTTCCTTTTAGAAACAACCTTAGACACAGTCCCCCTCACATCCGTCTCCTTGTGCACATCATCTTGTGGTCATTTAAAATGGTCACAACCCACAACAATTTTTTGACCCCACCCCTCAGCCTTCTTAAGGGTCAGCTTGAGACACGGGAGCAAAGCCCCCCACTCCCTTCCCACAACATTATTCTTCCCACTCCCTCCTCCCTGATAGCTACATCTCTGCAGATCTTAATGTCATATTGATCCAACTATGGAAATTAAGCACTTTTTGAATATAATTCATGATACTGTTAATCGTATTCTGTGAGCATCACATACTTACTATCATTGATATAAGTTGCTGGGAAAGGGTTAAAATCTGTTCGGTCATTCATCTATGATCTGTTGAAAAAATCCTGTCTGGACAACTTTTACAATTTGTACATGTGTCATGGTAATCATGTGAAGATTTGATATATAATTGACAGGTCCAGTACACTCTGCCGATTGAGCTATATCGCTATAAAGACCATATAGCTATATTTACCTATAAATTATAGCTGTATTGAGCTATACTTTCTCGAATTTTCATTAAATTAAATGAAAGTCGCATAAACAACAAGGTTTATGGTAATGATGACTACAAAAAGCATACATTTAGATGTTTATTTTCATTTTTCGTAAATGTTAAATTTTCGATTTTTCAACATCATTATTTTTTAAAAAGAATGCTTATATTCAATGTCTTTTGTTATCTACCTCATGATAAAATCTTCATTTAAAAGCGGCTTTGTTTTGTTTTCCTTAAAAAAGAAAATCACATGAAAATAGCTCAAAAGGCTATATCAGATTGGTAAATAGAGCTATTATAGGTCTTTACAGCTATATAGTTCAATCGGCAGAGTGTACTGGACCTGATTAAGGCGGTATACTACATCAATTTTTGCAAGAGTTATGGCCCTTTGAAACTTTAGTATGTGTCATAGGGCATCATATGAAGCTTTGCATAAAAGAGCAGGATACTGCATCAAGTGTTATGACTCTTTGTTTAATTTGGCAAATCTTTCTTGTGAGCACAACTATTTCCAGTTTTCAATTGTACACAATTTTGTCACAAGGATCATATGAAGATATGCTTATTATAAATGGAGGTTCATGTGTAAATTCTTACAAGAGTTACGGCCCTTTGAAACATATTTTCCTTTTGTGCACAACTTATCCTATTGTTTTTACCATGTGTTAGGAAAGTTTGTATGTGTCACATGTATCATTTGAAGATTTACAGATAATTAAAGTCAGACCAATTGTGAATTTTTAATAAGAGTTATAATATGGCCTAAATTTAATTTGCAATTGAGTGCAACTAGTCTCGCTGGGAAAAAAAGACTCAAGAGACCAGAGTTGAATATAAATTGATACCATTCAGCAATACTCATAAAGCCATAACATTTGGTAAACATTCCACAGCTCCTCAAACTACAGGTGTAGGATTTTACTTTGCATAAACATGCATTTTCCTTCCAAAGTAATATATTAAATCAGCATGAGGTTGAGGATTTTAAAATCAAGATCTTGCATCAATTTTTACTAAAGTTATATAGCCTTTTGCAATTCTGATTATTTTTCCCCTGGCATAACATTTCTTGTTGTCCAGAGTCTGACGTTTTACAGCTGAAGTTTGGGTCCATTCCCCTATAGAAAATAGTGCATTATTTTCCACAGAATCTCTTTAAAATTTCTCATTTTAACTCATTAATAAACAAATTCTATCTTCTATCTAACATCTAAAATGAAATCCTTTTTCATAAATAAGGATACTAGATCTTAAGGATGATACTTTGTTATTGAGAAAGATTAAATTTTCAGTATAATTTGGGAAACATGTTGATAATTTGGATAACTGCAACGTACACACATTTTTAAGTCACCCGAGACAAAGTCTCAAGTGAGACAATTTACATTTTCGACTTCTTCTCCAAAACCCCTGAACCATTTTCAATTCCCAGGCCAAAGGTCAACAAAAATAATGTCCGGTTTGGTCCCAGGGGCCTGAGGGGCAGGGCCAAAAAGGGTCAAAATCTTCTTCTCAAGACCCAGATATGGTAAAATCAAATACTCTTCATAGATGGGTCTTAATGTGATTTATCAAAATTGTGAGTTTTTTTACCCTTGGGTCTCGCGTTCCCCCTGGGGAGGGGGTAAACTTTACAATAGTTTATATAGGGAAATCACATTTTGCACCAACTTTTGTTTAATATCCATTGGAAGATATTCAATTTAGGTTAGGATTATCAGTATTGGGTAGCAGTTTGATGGTATACACATATCAGCGCTGACTGACCCCCCCGGGGCTGAAGGGTGGGGGGCCAAAAAGGGTTGAATTGACTGAAATTTCTAAAAAATCTTCTTCTCAAGACCCATATATGGTAGACTCAAACGTTAACACTCTTCATAGATGGAAGGGTCTTAAGGTTGTCTACCAAAATTGTGAATTTTATGACCCTTGGGTATCACACTTCCCCCTGGGGAGGGGGTAAACTTTACAGTAGTTTATATAGGGAAATCACATTTTGAACCAACATTTGTTTAATTTCCATTTAATATGGTTTATAATGGCAAATAATACTTTGAATATTGCATGTCAATAACTTGATTGGAATTATAACCCTGAGTTGACAGTTTGATACTTTGAAAATTTTGAGCCAGCCCTACCCCCAAGGGCTGTAGGGTGAGGCCCAAAGGAGTCAGTGTGCTACAATTTCTTCATTTTCCTTGTGTAGAATCAGGGGTCCTAGTTTCAAATACTTTTTAGTCTTAAATCTGTGTGCTTGAATAAGGTGGTTTTATTGTTTTTGTCACTTTGAATAATATTTTTGTTCGTGTTAAAAACAAAATCAACTCTCTGTATAAATATATCAGGTGACCGTTAAGGCCCATGGGCCTCTTGTCTAATTCTAAAGTCACAGGCCCCATTCACCAAAAGATTGAGTTTTTATCTTTTCGTTCTTCTTTACAGCGTCGTCCATGAAAACAGCATGGGAATTCCGTCAGCGGTTCTGGTATGTATATATAAATATACATTTTTCAATATGAAAAATATTTCAATTGAAAAAAATAATGATTGATAATGCCATATTTAAATTTGATTTCATGGTTTGAGTCATTTTCAAGTGTAATTACCAACTGTTAAGATTTTGCTCACATTTCAAGGGAGATAATAATGCATGTATATTATTTTTATTTACAGGATGGACATTAGGTTTCAGCCGACCTGTGACCAATGTCGCAAGCGAACTACCCCAGACCGACAGGTAAATATGTTTGCTATTTATCAACTTACATTGCTGTATTTCATAAAGCTGTATGAATCCTGTCTGCATGGTGATGAACTGAAATTTACACCATTGATATATCTGGGATGTTACAGATGGACTGGGAGGTTTGGGCCCAGTAAGGAAAAACCAGCAAAAGACTACAAAGAAAATTTACAACTTCTTCAATTCCTTCTACCAATTGATGTAAAATTTTACCCAAATTATGCTAATATGATTTTTTTTACAGGACTGTCTTACTGTAAGTGGACAGAACCCTGGTCAGATATATCTAGGAAGGTGGTCTGAGCTCTAGTTGGGTGATTTGGCGTCTGGGGTATCTGAAGCTGGATAGATTTATGACATTTCAGCTGCATTATTCACTCCTTTAACAAAGTTTTTAACCCTGACGAACACCATTATTGAGGTACAAGGACCTTTATGGTTATATGTGGGGATCCGATATCATGTACCCCTCCGTGATAGTCCTGAGGGGAACATGTAATCATACTGAGTCAAGTGCTTCATATTGGCTGTTTCCGAGCTGGGGTTAAATTCTCTTGTGACTGGATGGATGAGTGCAGCTGAACTAGAATAAATCTATTTTTGCAACAGTACCTCTTGCGTCGGAAAGTCTGATTAGGGTAAAGGTCATCTGGTCCAGAAAGTCTGACTGACGGAATAGGATGGCCTGCCAGTCCCCGGAGGAGGGTAAATAATTGCATGAATATAGTTAATTAATAATTGTATGAAAATTCCACTTCACCGATTTGGTTAGACCTTGCATTCTGATATATACATTAAACTTGGTTAGCTCAATTTCCATCAAATTGGCATATGTATATTTTACAAACATTTTCGATATCAATATTAACATATCAATGATGGCTACATGTAAATCTTGATCTTGGTAACATTGAGAAAATACAAACTGTATTAGTTGCACATAATTATCCCCACAAAAAATATTCAATAAAGGTAATATATACTATACAGCTGGTCTTCAAAAGTAGAAATGTACTATGTACTCAGTTTAGTTACTGTCAGCTTAGTAAAGTGTATATATGAAAACTTTCAGATAAATACATCCAAAACTATCAAAATTGATTGAATGTAGACCAGTGCTACCAGACAATTCATTCCATGAAGTACCTGTTCATCGAGCATAACATAATCAAGTATATTGTTGTGTATTTTTAGAGGAGGCGCCGACCACGGCGCAGAGATCGTCGCCCTTCCCGATCTCCCCCGGAGGAGGCGCCGTCCAAGGCGCAGAGATCGACGCCGTCATCCCGATCTCTTTCCATATGCCCCCGGTCCATATGAGGTAATTGACACTCTTGGAATTAATTATGAAAATGAGGAAATAAAATGTTCATTGCAGTTAATTTCTATTCTCTTGAATGTTGACCTTGAATGTAGCTAAAATTTTGAAAAATAATTTCCATCAAAATTGGTCATCATATTCAGTTCAGACCTGAGTATTTAATCCTATCTATATAGTAGTTGCTCTCATAAGAAAAAAAATCTCATGTTTATCTTAATTTTCTTTCATGAAGGACACGGGGGACGTGCCTGGAAGTGGCACCGAGACACTGCCATGTTTCGTGTTGGTTTGACTTTCTTCACACTGAGGTAAATAACAATGTTAAAAAAGGTGAAAATGACAGTGGGAGCTGATTTGGTGCTGTTATATATATTTTTCTGTTTTTGCTCAATTACAGTCTGTTGATGATTTTACGTTCCAATTTTTATCTAACCTAATTTTGACACTTGTGTTACCGTTCTGACAGTAATCTTTTTGTTTCAATAGAGCTTTAAAAGACAGACATTTTATGATTTTAATTATTAATGCAGTTTATTTCTTCTTTTAGCCACAGTGTGGAGGCAGTCAAAAGGGCCGTGCTAAGGGCCCAAGGGTGTGACATAGTGGCAGGTCTATGTCGCCGTAGAGCGGGGAAATTCCGTTAGGCAAGGTAATTAATAAATATCAATTTGAATTAACCTGATTTTAGATGTATGTGTTTTTTACAGATCAATAAAAAATAATAATGCCCTGAAACTATCAAGACCATGAAGTTATCAGAATTAATTTAGCTTTCAGGGCCTGTATTTAGGAAACCATTTTCATGCTCAAATTAGGTTCCTGATATATTGATGAAATATTCAATAAATGGACTTTACTTTTTTGCCATGTCAGATGATTTAAGCAAGTGATAAGACAATTGGTGTAAGCAGAGAATTGACACGACGCATTAGCATGATAACAGTTTCATGAATACAAGACCGGGCCAATATCAGTATTCATGAATCCGTTCTCCAATCTGATTAAAATCATCTGTTACATGGCTCCGCCTGAACATCTGAATGTGCCGCGGTCAAGTGACCTTAAGATGAACCAATCAGAGGCGCGCTGACAAAAGTTCGCCAGTGAATCGGAATATCATGGTTGATAGATAAATAGCGAGGGGTATCAAACAGATTAGTTTTCCAAAACGAATATGGCGGCAGGAACTGACTTTTCTACGACGAAAAGGAAACGTACCCAATGGGTAATAATTGCTTAGGCAACACCGCCACACAGTCCTTCTTCTCTAATAAAGCTTCGAATATCTTTTTCTGTTCGGGTTTCAGACGATCAATTAACTTCATTCTCATCAATGTCCGCCATATTTGTTACAACTCCGAGCGCCCTTTTGAAAGAGGGTCTCTGATTAGTCAAAATTTAATGAGTATTTATAAATATAAAGGTTACCTCAACGTGACCCTGACCGCGGCACATTCAGATGTTCGGGTGTAGTACGAAGTTAACGAAGCCATGTAACATATGATTTTAATCAGATTGTTCGTTCTCAAGCTCAAACTCAGATTCTGTGCTCATGCAAGCCCAATATCTTGTTCAGCTGATAAATTACTTAGCTTCACATTTGTAAGTGATTTAGAGGTACTCTAGGGGGACCATTTTCATTGTTAACTTTTGTCTTTTTCACTTATGTTAAACAAACTCAATACTTGTGCATCTTGAGAGCGCATCTTGGGAAAATGGAGTCTGAGGTGTGTTTGAGGTTTGTTAATTTCACCAGTGTTGTTATGGCCCTTTATTATCTGTATAGAACTTTGTCCACAATTTCTCCTTAGTACCTTAATTGTTACATGTTGGGATGTCTTTTGTTCAGTTTCACTTGATTGTTGATCTTTGCTCATTTTTCTCTTTAAGTCAGTCCTTATCATGGCTCTACTGCCTTAATTTAAAGACATGTCTTGATGCATCACAAGGTCAAAGGTCAATGTCATTAACAACAGAGGGCCAAAAATGGTCTCATTTCAATATGGTTTTGTCCGTCAATATTTGATAGTTTCCTCTACTTGATAGTCTTGAATACTAGCACTACTTGAGAAGGCTGTTTTTTCACCTACCTTAATAGATGTATGTGGTAACCAAGTTAATACTCAAGAAAGCTTGAATGAGGTCTACCGTGGTGTATTGTGCACCTGATTATGGTGCTTTTGTTCCCATCATTTCCTACATCTGTTCAGTTATCTGTCTATCTGCAGTATCTTTCATCTTGCTCTTTCAATAACTGAACATTGTGCTGGTCTAAATAGATACTACAAGGCATTGTTTATCCCCAACCCATCCTCACCACCAAGCCAAAAACACTTGTATCTATTGTGAAACAAGGAACCTGTTGTTATTAAGAGGTATAATTTACTGTATACCTGGAAATATTTGTTACAGTTTAATTTTTGCTTTGCCCTTCACAACGATGGCAAATTTATAAATATCTCTTTGTTTTGAGATATCAATGTGTAAATTGTGTATATATATCATTATTCATTTCTCTTACAGTACGATGTTGGGTGCCACGACTTTGGACTCATCTGAAGCATTAGTGCCTTTTCCTGAAGGTATGAGAATTTCTTTATTGTGCAGAGTTAAGATGAAAAGATCAACTTTTTCATTGAAAGATGGGTTCTCGCTGACAAAAAGCATCATGGTTTTATTTCCACTATCAAATAAACTCTGAAATTTCAATGCCAAATCAATTTACAATCCCATCTGGTCATAAACATCCTATTGCCACCATTGTCTATTAATTGTGTTAATTAAATTCATTAACATAAGAACCTTCTTAGTTCCCTGGGGTTGATTGAACTTAAATTTGGTACCAATATAGTTCGGACAAGTTCGCATTTCAGAAGTTCACGTCCATTTTGGGTAGAGTCATGCCCCTTTTGCTGCCAAATAAGGGCATTGGGTAGTAAATGCAAGAACTTTTTTATTTTTTAATCAATTCTTTTCAAATTTTGTACAGTAATGCTAGAAGCAATAATGTTCAACATATATGATGAGTTTTTCTGTCAAGTTTTAATGTTTTGGCATATCTGTTTATGCGATAACTCCAGTCAAAACACTTTTCTTACTAAAAGTACTGAGCAGGCGACACATCCACTCCCGTGGAATTCTAGTGTATATAGCATATATATATTCATATATATACATATACATATATACATATACATGTGTATATAAATTCTTGTATATATAGCAGCGAGAACCCGTATTTATTGGTGAACTGGAAAATATATAAGAAAGAAGGAAATATATAATGACAAAAATAAATTGTATGTTTCAGGTACCCCGACTTACCCTAGTTTTTACCTTCAATGACCATAGCTGTTGATAGGATGTTAAACAATACTAAACCAAACCAATCGACACAAACAATTTATCTCGCATAAATGCACTCCATCCAGATTTAATTGGGATAAATTGATGGATAATTAAACAAGGCAACTATATATATAAACCCTCTCTACTTCACAGGCTGGTATCCAAACCATTTAAAGCCCATATTATTATTTAAAAGACATAAACAAATTTTTGGTGATTTTTGTAATTTCTTACCAAATTAGCCCACCTAAAAAAGAAAAAACCTGACTAACCCTATTTTTTCAGTAATGTAGCCTGAAATAAACAATTTTTTTCCTGAAAAGTGTAATTACTACATACTGTAAATAGGACTCGGTGAATTACAATTAACAAAATGCTTTGACCTTGTTAAAAATCTCATAAATAACTCCTCAAAACGTAATCGCTGCTTTAATAGTTTCCTTAAGACATCGGAGAGAATTTGTAAAGTTGAAGGTCAAGGTCACTTGATGCACAGTTGAAACATCTGTTGATCAGCAAATTTACAAAAGTTATGAAGACTGACTGCAAATTAAAAAAAAGGTTAATGTTTCAAGGTCTAATGTTTTATGCATCAGAGGTCAAATGTCAAGGTCACTTACATATTTCTTTTATCAATTTCCCATTGTTGAAAGGGAGCGGTATGATTTTTTTGCTAGCTATTACATAGCAGTACATGTACATCAGATGAGACTGAGGTCAATCAACTTTAAAAACAATCAACCAAAGTGCTGTTATATTTGTTATAAATGTACATCAACATATGTTTTTTTGACTCCATAACCAAAAGCAACGCTAAAAAAGAACAATTTCATAAGATCAGGTTGTTGATGGGGAAAAGTTATGTGATTGAGGTTTTTTTTTTGTAGGAGATTGTCTAACGTCTCGGACAGTCACCTGGTCAGGGTTTTCAAATGCGTGGAGTCTAACTCTAGATGGATGACTTAGCAATGGAAATATTTGGAACTCAGTTGGTTTTGTCATTTCTCAACTTCGAACTGTCCCTTCTTTGACAATGCATTTAATTCCAAATACAGACATGAATCTGACACGAGTATGGCTTTACAGCATCATGATTGGGAAGTCAGGCCTGTGCGGTCGGGCTTGATGGACCAATGGACCGCCATGTGTGTTGTACTGCTCTGTAAATCTTGTGCTGGAGGATTGTTTGTGTCTGGACTTCTATACATTGTGAAAGAATGGACAAAACTAGTTGGGCCATGACTAAATCTTCTTGAGGCTTCATCTATCTTCTTTGCTNGGAAATATTTGGAACTCAGTTGGTTTAGTCATTTCTCAACTTCGAACTGTCCCTTCTTTGACAATGCATTTAATTCCAAATACAGACATGAATCTGACACGAGTATGGCTTTACAGCATCATGATTGGGAAGTCAGGCCTGTGCGGTCGGGCTTGATGGACCAATGGACCGCCATGTGTGTTGTACTGCTCTGTAAATCTTGTGCTGGAGGATTGTTTGTGTCTGGACTTCTATACATTGTGAAAGAATGGACAAAACTAGTTGGGCCATGACTAAATCTTCTTGAGGCTTCATCTATCTTCTTTGCTGGGAAGTCTGTCTATTGTCAAGATGACATAAATTTGAAGAATCCTGACCTCAGGACGGAAAGATTGCCCCATAAAAAAACAAGGTAAGTGTAGCTTGACACTAAAATAAAACAGCTGGATTTACTTTCCTTTGCAATGAAAGGAAGTTTAACAAAGTTATATTGGAATCGGGATAACTGTCAATCAGTCTGTAGACACAACATAAAACTAAGGGACATGAGTAAACCATAAAGTATAGAGTTACTTCCCTTGTTTATAGATCAAGTTATGACCTTTTAATGTTATATACATTGTTAGCACTTCTCCCAAATGACTGCACATATTTAATGATACTTGATACTAACTATCTTACATTGAGAGGATATGAATTAAATGTTAAAATGGAGTCAAATGTGTAATTTAGTTTAGTTATGAAGTTTGGTATGCATGTACCTATAATAGTTATACTTGAGTTCGAATTGAAGCAAAATTTGTGCATAATTAATGAGCATACTGTGCTCTGATTGGTCAATTGCCAAATAGAAGTTTTCACACAATAACTTGCTTGAATATTGTTGTATTTCGATGAAAATTAGTATTCTTGTACATTATATAGAAAAACAGGGGCAAAATCCAAGCATAATCAGGGCCCCAAATCGGAGATGCAGGTGTCCTACAGTAATCATCTGTCCGCCCACACTTTCATTTCTGAACATTATATCAGAATTCAAAAGAATGAATGTATGAAATTTGACATGGCGATACACAGAAGGATAGATGTGCAATAGGGATTTAAAGAAGAATCCAGAAATGATATACTTTACATTATTGCAAATGTGATGTCTCATGGAAAAATTTAAGAAGTCAAAGGGTATGCTTATAAAATTTGAATAATATTATAATAGTAATCAAAATANGAACTGAATCAAAGTACTGAAAGCTACCAAACTGAAGACTGTGAAAGGGAATTTTCTGTGCAGTATCGCACCTGACTGCCTTTAGGAACAATTGACAAAACAGAAAAAAAGTGATGTTGATAAAAACTGAAGGATATGATAGGGCTTCATTTGACTTTGAGGAAGCCCTGCTAGCCTGGAAAAATGTGAAGGAGAGGAGAATCTACGAACTGAATCAAAGTACTGAAAGCTACCAAACTGAAGACTGTGAAAGGGAATTTTCTGTGCAGTATCGCACCTGACTGCCTGTAGGAACAATTGACAAAACAGAAAAAAAGTGATGTTGATAAAAACTGAAGGATATGATAGGGCTTCATTTGACTTTGAGGAAGCCCTGCTAGCCTGGAAAAATGTGAAGGAGAGGAGAATCTACGAACTGAATCAAAGTACTGAAAGCTACCAAACTGAAGACTGTGAAAGGGAATTTTCTGTGCAGTATCGCACCTGACTGCCTGTAGGAACAATTGACAAAACAGAAAAAAAGTGATGTTGATAAAAACTGAAGGATATGATGGGGCTTCATTTGACTTTGAGGAAGCCCTGCTAGCCTGGGAAAATGTGAAGGAGAGGAGAATCTATGAACTGAATCAAAGTACTGAAAGAGGTACATGTTTATGTTCCTACATGTTTATGTTATGTTTTTTTTTTCTCTCTTATATATGTAGCTTGTTCTAGAACTTAGGTTAGGATAAGGCCACTAAGTGTGATAACACTGGCCAGCTGGTCGGAGCAATTAACCCATGTGGTAAGGTTGGGGTAGCCGGCTCGCAGCATCTTTTCATTTGTGTTCATTGTGACTTGTATAATATAATTTTCTTTTCTTGAATTTGTGTCTCTGTTTAACATTTTTGGTTGCACACTTTACCAGGTAAGTAAGTTGTATTATTAAAGTTTTTATCTTAACATTGTCTCCAAGCTCCATCAGGTTCACCAATATTGTGCCTGGAGAAATTGGTTTTAAAATTGCATGATGTTTTCCATGTTTAGTTCATTTTACACACTGTAATAGAACAGTTATAAAATTAACAAGATTAAAGATTTCAAAAATTTGTATCCACTCCAGACACACACTTTGTGTACATATAACAGCAAACATACATACATGCATATAACAACATGCATATATACATATAATAGCATACATACATACATACAGATAACAGCAAACATACATACATGCATGTAACAGCATACATATAATAACATACATATAACAGCAAACATACATACATGTATATAACAGCATACATACATACATACATGCATATAGCAGCATACATGCATAGCAATTAGGCCTATAGGGGGCCCTCAATTTATTGTCGATAGTGGTCATTGTTTACACAAGCGTTGGCCAGTTTGGCGGTTTTAATTTTGTTGCACCCATCACCGCCCCTCTCTGCCTTCATTTTATTTATATATATTGTCCAATGCTTAAAAAATTTCATGTATTTTTGTTTTGTTTTTGTCATGTATTATACTTTTTCTGTTGTTTTGTATGACTATTATTGATGTATGTTTTAGGTATGGTTATGTATTTCTGCCATGTGTTTATTTTCTGACTAAACAATGTAATATACCTCTATGCATAATTTGTATTTGTTCAACCTTTTTTTTATATCCTTTTTTTTCCGTGTGTATGACTTGTTTCAGATATTTTCTTGGCTTTTGATGAGTGAGACAACACTCGCCTGCTGGTCTTGAGCAAAGGATAAACCTACCTCCCTGATTCAGGTTGGGGTAGCCGGCTCGCAGCTTACCTATATAGATCAGAGATGTTTTTTTTTTTTTTTTTTTTTTTTTTTTTTTGTGGGCTGTTCATGTTTCAATTTGCTTTTTGTAGGCATTAAATTCTTGGGGAATTTTGTACCCCCAATTCAGTTTTAGGTCATTATGTTGAGTAGTTTAGATTACTTTAGGAGCAGCCCCCAAGAATGCCAAAAATAATAAATATTAAAATTTGTATAACTGAACAAGTCACTAGTTTCGAACCTTTAATAAATTTTCTTGAACTATAATTACTGTTGTTTTGTTGTGTATAAAACATGCATATATATAGCGGCATACATGCATACCTATAACAGCATTACTACATGCATATAACAACATACATGCATTAACATTAAAGCATACATACATGTAATATCACACATACCTACATACATATAGCAGCATATATGCATACATATGACAGCATACATACATATAATAGCATACATATTACAGCATTCACGCATACATATAACAGCATACCTACACACATATAACAACATGCATGCATATACATTATAGCATACATACATATAAACTTATGTATGTATATATGGTATTATATATGTATGTAGGTATGCAAGCTTCTATATGTACATTTAGCATAATAGCATACATGAGTACGTATACCTTATAATAGCATACATGCATACGTATACCTTATAATAGCATACATGCATATAATAGCACATGCCTACATACATGTATACGCATACATACATATAACAGCATACATGCATACATATAACATATTATAGCATAAATGTATATAACATTCATATACATTATAGCATACATACATATAAAAGCATACATGCATATATACCACAGCATGCATGCATACATATAATACAATACATACATTTAATAGCTTGCAAACCTACATACATAGATTAGCATACATACATACATATTACAACATTCATGCATACATATAACAGCATACCTACATACATATAACAGTATACATATAACAGCACACATGTTAACAAATTATAGCATACATACATATATTAACATTACCTACCTACATATATTAGGCTAGCATACCTACATACATATAACAGCATGCATACATATACATTATAGCATACATACATATAACATTAGCATACATACCTATAACATCATACCTACTTACATATAACAGCATACATACATATGCATTAAAGCATACATATACATTATGTATACATATAACAGCACACATACCTACATTATATTATATTAGCATTCATACATACATATATTGGCATGCCTACATACATATCACAGCATACATGCATACATATAATAATATACAAACAATAACATACATACATATAATAGCATACATACATTTACATATAATAGCAAACATACCTACATACATATACTTACATACATATAACAGCATACATATAACATACATACATATGATAGCATACATATAATAGCAAACACCTACATACATATAACAGCATACCTACATATAACGGCATACATGCATACATATCATTAAATATATACATATTAAAGCATACCTACATAGATATATTAGCATACATACATATAGCAGCAAACCTACATACATCAGTAACTGGCTTAGGTAAAGTGCAATGAAGGATCTTCAAATCAATGACCTTGACCTATTTGCATTGAAATATGGGTTAAAAATGCTAACACTTTGAAATTCTACTATCTAAAATGCTTGTTGTCTAGAGCAATGATACTTAAGTATGTAATGAGACCAGCCATGTACATCAGCAGCTCACATGATTCTTTGGTGAGTCATTGTCTACAAGTGTGGTAAGGAACAGCTAGGTAGCCTCAGACCTCAGGACATGGAGTCATTGACTACAGGTGTGGTAAGGAACAGCTAGGTAGCCTCAGACCTCAGCACATGGAGTCATTGACTACAGGTGTGGTAAGGAACAGCTAGATAGCCTCAGACCTCAGGACATGGAGTCATTGTCTACAGGTGTGGTATGGAACAGCTAGGTAGCCTCAGACCTCAGGACATGGAGGCATTGACTACAGGTGTGGTAAGGAACAGCTAGGTAGCCTAAGACCTCAGGACATCGAGTCATTGTCTACAGGAGTGGTAAGGAACAGCTAGGTAGCCTCCGACCTCAGGACATCGAGTCATTGTCTACAGGAGTGGTAAGGAACAGCTAGGTAGCCTCAGACCTCAGGACATGGAGACATTGACTACAGGCGTGGTAAGGAACAGCTAGGTAGCCTCAGACCTCAGGACATGGAGCCATTGACTACAGGTGTGGTAAGGAACAGCTAGGTAGCCTAAGACCTCAGGACATCGAGTCATTGTCTACAGGAGTGGTAAGGAACAGCTAGGTAGCCTCAGACCTCAGGACATGGAGCCATTGACTACAGGTGTGGTAAGGAACAGCTAGATAGCCTCAGACCTCAGGACATGGAGTCATTGTCTACAGGTGTGGTATGGAACAGCTAGGTAGCCTCAGACCTCAGGACATCGAGTCATTGTCTACAGGCGTGGTAAGGAACAGCTAGGTAGCCTCAGACCTCAGGACATCGAATCATTGTCTACAGGTGTGGTAAGGAACAGCTAGATAGCCTCAGGCCTCAGGACATGGAGTCATTGACTACAGGTGTGGGAAGGAACAGCTAGGTAGCCTCAGACCTCAGGACATGGAGCCATTGACTACAGGTGTGGTAAGGAACAGCTAGGTAGCCTAAGACCTCAGGACATCGAGTCATTGTCTACAGGTGTGGTAAGGAACAGCTAGGTAGCCTAAAATACATACATATTAAAGCATACCTACATAGATATATAGCTGTTATATGTATGTATGCAATTTTACGTATGCTATTATATGTATGTGTGCTATTATATGTATGTTATGATATGTATGCATGTATAATGTGATGTTTGCATGTATGCGGTGAATTGTATGCATGTATGCTATTATATGCATACATGTACATATAACAGCATACCTACATACATGTTACGGCTTCCTTTAAAAGGCTTCTTGTCCTGAATGACCAAGTAGATTTTGACTAAATTTGGTCTGAAGCATGCTTAGGCCAAGGAGACTCAATTTTGAATAAACGGTGTGTGTGCCCCCCCTGGGGCTGAGGAGTGGGGCCCAATAGGGGAAATATAGCAAATTCTGTAAAATCCATCTTCTTCTGTAGGAATGAAAGGATTTGTTTCTCATTTTTTCAGAACCATCCTTAGGGGAAAGGGAACACATTTTGTATAAATGGTGTGTCTTGCCCTCATGGGGGCTGAGGAGTGGGGCCCAATTTGAGAAACATTGCAAATTCTTTTTCTATTATAGTATATTGTTTCCATTTTACAGATTTCTTATGTGCAAGAGATGTATATATCTATACTAGATTTAGATTTGTAATTATTTGAACAAACTTTATTCTACAGTGCATATCAGAAAATAATGATTACTTCAAATTCAGTGACAACAATAATAATTAATAAGGAGATATGACGATAAGATATATATTTTAAGTTGTGCATGCTTCATTTTGAGGCTGATCATACAGAGAAGCAATAAAGGTTGACAGGCAGCCATCTTGGATTTCGACAGTTCCAGATTGTAATCAGTGTTTCCCAATAAGTACATTTACTTGACAGATCTTTCTCAATATAATACAGGCAGCCATCTTGGATTTTGATATTGAAAGTTTGTTATCGGTATTTCTCAAGAAGGACCAGAGGGATTTTTCTCAAATTTTATAAGTAGGTTCCCCTTGGTCCTGAGCTGTGCAGGGCAACTTTTGAGACTGATCGGATTAACCACATGGCCGACAGGCAGCCATCTTGGATTTTGATAGTGAAAGTTTGTTATCGCTATTTATCTGGAAGTATCGGAGGGATCTTTCTCAAATGATCAAAATGTCAAATGTAAACATTGTAAACAGTTTTCTCTCCAAAATGTTTCTATTTTTTTTTTATCAATTTAAAAACAACAAGAAATTAGGCTTGAACATAAAATCAATTCTTAAAGCATGAGAGCAATTTCATATCTACAGGCCCTGGAGTCTTTAAGTAAGCTAGACACTGAGATGTTGCAGAGAAGCTTGGAAATGGAAAACAGCTAGACTCCGAAAGCAAGAGAAGTCACTAGACTCTGAAATTTCCTGGAGAAGCTATACGAGTTAAATATGACTTAATATTAATCTAATCTAATTGTAAATCCCTGACGAGGCAGAAAATGACCTTTAATGCCCCTAGTCCTTTCACATGTAGGTTTCCAATAGACAATCATGATACCCGATTCATTTTGAGACTGAAACAGGAAGGCTGGTACCAAGAAATACTTGACAGATCTTCATGAAATTTTATAAGTTCATTTTTAGCTCACATGGCCATAGTGCGGCGTCCGTCGTCCATCCGTCCGGCGTCAATATTTTATATCTGCCGATAGCAACTCTATTATATCAATTTAGTATGGAAATATAAATTGTTACAAAAGATAATTCTGGGACTAACCAGATTGCACAGTGTAGTCTGCACTGTCCATGGTTACACTTTTGGACCCACTTGCAATAACACTTTGTCAGAATATGAAATAACACCAATTTAAAGGGATAACTGTCCTGTTCTATTGTCACAGGAGAAAATAACTAGTAAATGGCAAATGATCCTTAAAACTTTTGTTGAACTATACATTCAATATTGTTAAGTGTCAAAAAGAAAAAAACGTGTTGGACAGATTCATTTTCAATTTCAATAAATTTTATTGTCAAAAAGACAAAGGGATTGGATAGCAGGCATAGCCTATTAAGGCCTCTCCAAACACAGTAACAAACAGTGGTACGAGCATTGACACACATACAAACACATATAAACAAGTTGATATCATCAAATTAATAATCAAATTAGGGGAAACAACCACTAATTCCTATTCTGAAGGACTATGGTGAGCTTATGCCATACCGCAGCGTCCATCCGTCCGTCCGTCAACTTTTTTCCAAAACGCTACTTGTCCTGAACGGTCAAGTAGATTGTGACTAAATTTGGTCTGGGGCATCCTTGGGCCATGGGGACTAAATTTTGTGTAAATGGTGGGTGTGGGCCCGCTTGGAGCAGAGGGGCGGGCCCAATAGGAAAAATAGAGGGAAAACCTTTAAAATCCTTCTTCGACCATCAGGATAAAGGGATTTTATCCTTATTTAGTCTGGAGCATTCTTTGGCCAAGGGGACTCAATTTTGTATAAATAGTGGGTATGATCCCCCAAGGGGCATAGGGATGGTGCTCTGTTTGAAATTTGTTAAGTTACCGCATCAAGCAGATGAATTTATGCATATTAAACACAGGTTAGATATATAATCAACAATTGTTGTGAAGCTTTATATTCTTATTTATATAGTTGTTTCCCAATATTTTTTAACAAAATATTATAACTGAACCCCAGCCCCCCTCATCAACACTATTAAAAATAAACCAAAAAAAGGAAATACTGATATTAATATATTAATATTCATGTACCATTTTTGGAAATCAGAAGAATTACATTGAGCAAATGAATAAAAGAAAAACAAATCATGAGTGAATCATTTTTAATTTCATTAGAAATAATTGAGTTCTTCTCGAAATTGAAATGTGATTTGATACAGATAGGAGAATATGTTTTTTTGAAAGATGTTTTTAAAGTGTAGATTAAGCTAGATAAAAAATCACTTCATATTGAAAATCAGAAACTGTGTTTACAATGCTTATCTGGCATATTTATTCAAAGAAGAAAACAAGTTCATCTTCTATCCAATAAGGAGTTATAAAAAATAAAGGAAAGCTTAGTCAAGACAGAACAAGATAAATATGGTAATTTTGGAATGGGGAACAAAATAAAGACAAAGTTCATATTAATGGAATTGTAATGATGTTCAAAGAATTTAGTTGAGGTTATTGCTTGTGAAGGAGTATCAACCGAAATCGACACACATGACACCCATGCATTTGTGAATGATTTTGATGTACTTTTGTTATGAACCCTAGTTTTATGTAAAAGTGTACCCCTGTGAAGTTATTCTTGTTGTGTTTATATGTGTACATGTGTATATCTTTATAGGATTGGCAGCAGAGGTTCCATGTTCAATCTCTAGAATACATCCTTTTAGATAATTGATTTGCATAGTAATTACTTCCCTTTGTCCATGTTTCAAATGTTAAAAATAGAAAATGGCATCGACTCCTTTTGGCAATAATTGATTATTTAAAACCATTTAAACCGAAGAAAGCAATCTGTTCCCTGTTGGAAGTGTCATGAATCTGAGGGAAAATGATTCAGCCTTATAAAGTGAAGCCACCTTCTCTATACAGTTACTGACAGACTCCACACTGCCATATGTCACTGTTGGTAAGTCCTTGCAGCCTTTCGAAAAAGTTCATGAAGTCCTCAAGGTATGAGAGAGGGGGTCTGTTTATATTTCTTTGTTTCACATCCTTCTTCCTCCCATCAATAACCATCCCTGTCTGTTGTAATATTGATTGCTTTTCAGGTTTAACAATCCCCCTATGTTTAGAGACAAAGTAAAAAAAAAAAGAGTCATAGTAATAAGAAATAAAACTGGATAATCTCTAAACTTTTGAAAAAACATTTTGTCATGAACCAAAAGTTATGTTCAGATTTCAAACCGAAGATACATTGAAATTGTGCAACTCAGAAAAAGAGGTTTGAAAATTATTTATTTCCACTTTTCCCCCTAAGAGTTATTGAATCTCTAAGTTATGAATGATTACCATTTAGAGGCCGCGCCATGGCATAAGCTCACTACATCCCTTCTGGCATGCAAGCTAAAAATAAACAATAATAATAATGCATGCTAAAATGATTGACAACCCTGAAACTAGAACTTGTTTGAGATATTATTGACCTTTGTAATTGTGTGAAGTTGATTAAAATCCCCAAAGGAATGAAGCCGCAAGAGTGCTGACAAGGATTTCCAAAAAATGGTAATGGTGACCTTGACATTGAACCAACAACCCTAAAACTCAAACTTGTCTGAGATAGTTTGATTAAAATCCTTCAAGGAATGAAGCGGCTAGAGCGCTGACAAACATTGGTGCTACGTACATGTACGTAAACAGACGGACAGAGAGGAAACCTATAGTCCCCCTCGGTTTACTAATAACCACTTAACAAGGGTTTTGTTTAAGAATTGAATGTATTTCATATTTCAGTCATAATCAGCGGAAACTAATATAACCTGTAAGAGCTTGTTTATCACCACTTGAACTGCTTATTCAGAAACCACACTTATTTTTCCCTATTTTCCAAAAAAAATAATGATTGACTCGGAAAGTAAGAATAGTCCCTGTGAGCATTGGTATGTCCTGTGGCCTTGGGCATCTTGCCAACATGTATTTACCTCATCTTGGGTCAGATGAAACTTGAGGAGTTTTTTCAGCCTTAAATAACAAAATTGATATATTCTATACACTTAAAGGACTTGTGAATGAGGAAACTAACTGATCTATCTTGTCACTTGTGGATTATAAGGGCACATTGGTTATATGAATAATTAATTCATCAAGACCTTCTGGTCTACAATAACTCAATGTTGATAATGTTGACAATGGTGAAAACCCACAAATATAAACTGATTCATGACATTGCAGACTAGGGCATTACATAATACAATTGTGAGAGTAAATATGATTTCTATTAATAGCAGGGCCTCATGCTCAAAAGTACCACAGGAAAGGAACAATATACACCCTTTCCCATGCCAGACTGGCATAATTAAAATCATTCTGATGCATTATTGTACATGTAATATTTAATCATGTATCAAAATATTGAAATTTAACAAAAAGAAACTTCATCTGTACAGTATACATTGATCATAAATCCTTTAATATCTTGAAAATATATTTTAATGTACAGGAATTGCTCCTCTTTGCCCTTACATGTACAGTCGAACCTCGTTATCTCGAACTCGTATAACTCGAAGACCCCGTTTAACTCGAAGCATTTCATCGGTCCCGGCCAAAACTCTTCTTAATCTTAGTAATAAAAACTCTGATAATTCGAACTCTGAAAACTCGAAAAACTCGGATATCCCGAAGTGAAACATAGGTCCCAACAAGGTAAATCCTACATAAAAATATCTCCTACCTCGAAGTTTCTTAAGATTCACCAGTCTATCATATATTCTTTAATTATTTGATACACATTTGACGCAGTGCTACGGTAAACATCGTTCTAAATGAGCAACTTACGCTCGGTCATAATTACTTTGATTAAACTTATGGCATTAAAATGTGTTTGACTGTAAAAACACTTTGTTCAAACAAAGAAACAGACTTCATCAATGTTGATTAACAACAATTAGTACTCACTGCGAGCCCGTAAACAATTTGAATGGCACTTTATTTACACCAAAGCTGCGGACACATTCTAACCGGAATTGTATGTATTTCAAACCATAGAAAAAGAAACTGGTATTACATATGCATCCTTTGACACATGATGACTTACTTCAGTCAATCAGAATGCATTATGCTAATTAACTATGTGCAGATTGTATTCAGTTAAAAACTCATGTTGAGCCTTTTCCTTTCCATAATGTAACTGGGTTGGGTGAGTTCCCAGTGAATGTTTGAAGAACTCACAATGACTGTACAAATCAGTTTATGTTTATTCTTGCACTTAGATCATCAAATTCCATGAATCAATATCTGTCTTGTTTCATCTCTTACATTTTCAGATATCCTTATACATAAACATGTATATCATGAATTCTGGCTCTGGGCAGAATTCCTAGACTCTTCCTAAATGTAAGTTTCTACTTCTATTTTCTTCTCTTTTAACATGTAGTCTGTATAATGTTGTAAAATATGTAATTGCTACTATTTGAATGCAATTGAGTTGAATTGCAAAATGTTGGAAGACAGAAAATTGAACCATGTAGTATTTTATTTTTGCATAGGACCCTGGGTCGGCTGACATTTTCCTAACATTTAGGAAAAGTCTAGGAATTCGGCCCACATAGCAAGGTACACATATATATCTAAATATTATTGCAAAGTTTGTATTTTGAGTATCATTCCAAGTAAATGCTAAATGTAATGCTGAGGGTAGATTATCTCCCCTTATACGGTATTGATCCAAGATTTTAACCCTACCACAACAATATAAAGACAAGTTTAATCAGAATTAAATCATATTTGATCAAGTTATTACGGGGAAACTATCAATCAATCTGAAAGCATTATGCTTATAACATTTATTAGGCACAGATTTTGTCCAACTTTAAACTTGGTCAATATCATATTATACAAAGAAGTTAAATCAGAATCAGATCAAATTTGAGAAAGTTATTGTGCAGAGAAGTTTACCATAACAACATTGTTAGTTTACTAATTATGTGCAGATTTTGCTCAACACCAAACTTGGTATAAGTCTTTGTATATTGTTCACGCTTACAAAGTTTCATCAGAATAGAAGGAAATTTTAACAAGTTATCGTGTGGAAGTCACCGATGGGCACTCCCCATTTAAAATGTTTGAGATGCATATGAAAATTACATTTAGTAAATATTATGATAAAGTACTACATTGTTAGTTGACCATGTCATATGATTTAACATAATACAATAAGTTGTTATGAGCACTGAGTCCCTGCTTGAGCATGAGACAGTTTCATGAAATTAGAACCGAGCTGGTTTATTGGATTGCTTTTATTACTTTATTTTAATGGTGATGAGCTAAAACCAGGTAAAAAGACCCCTCCTCCCCCCTTGTACATGTGAAACTTACCAGCAGGATGTAATGGTACAATTTTCAGTAGCTTTTCTTCATTTAACATACAAATTTCTATTTAATTTATAATTTGATTTATTTTTACATACATTTTTACCACATTCCATTACGTGGTCCCTCATTTTTGACATTGATATGATGCAGCCACGTTGTATACATTCCTCTAGCACATCAGTTGTATACCTCCACCATCTTTTTCCTGCAATGTTAAATAAAACAAGAATTCCACGGAAGTGGACGTGTCGCTTGCGCAGGAAGCTGGGAGATTGTGCTTAGCAGTGCATGAAGTTTGAGTTTGATCGGCCCAAGGAAACTCCAGTTATCGCACGAAAACATATTTTCTATTTATAGTAACAGTGACCTTGACCTTTGACCTTCGGACCTGAAAAGCAATCCCAAGCAAGAACTTTTGGTAAGGAAGCACTGCATGAAGTTTGAGTTTGATCGGCCCAAGGAAATCGCACGAAAACCTCTGAGCGGACGACGCCGCCGACATAGCAATACCTATGTGTCACCAGCTCTTCGCAGGCGACACAAAAACTGGATTTACCCCAAGCCTGGTCTTCATGGATACCCTGCAGTAAATGTACTAATATCAATACCCGGCGTCCTCTGCCACGACGCAATACATCTGTTCCTCAGTAAATAGTGTTTTTGAATTCAATATCTTGACCTCATGAATCTCATTTCATTATAGGACACATCGTGTGCACCTAGCTGACACTGATGTACCTTCACATCTGAAGTCTCATGTTGTTACATAAAACAGAAGCCAATATATCCTTCAGAAACCTATACGTGTATATTCTGTATTTAAAAGTTGATGTTGTATTGAAATTGCAGTTCTCCAATCTTATTGCAAGACATACTGTCTGAAGTCCATACTTGAAACAGTATCCATGATATGGTTAGGAAACCTGTACAGTACATGAACACTTCATTTTAGTACATGAAGTAAAGGTCAAAGAGGTCAATGTTACCTAATTTAAAGATGCGACACACCGGCTTCCAGGCCAAGTGTCATGAAAATCATTAATAAAGTGAAGCATTAAATTGAGTACCATCGTTGAGTTTCAGGAAAACAAGAGGTAGTATGTTAGATGTGTTTAAAACAACACATGACATTTGCGATGGTAGGGCAGCATGTTTATTATATTACTAATCCCAAAGACAAGAACAAACTAGAAAACACTTTTCACAACATTAAACTTCATATAAACTTTTCTGGGTTTTTTCTTCATTTAAAAAATGGAACATTCTCTTACAGAGTAAATAATTTACTGTGGTGCTGATATAACAAAGACATATTAGATAAGCATTAGGGTGGACGAGAACTTGGATGGCAAATTATTCCTACATTACGACTGGTTGATCATAATCACATGGAGGTTGCTGATTTGTCATATTGACTTGGAGATGTTATTTTTAGAAACAGCAGGTCAATATTTTCTTTATGACTTCATTTTAATTGTATTAATGTAACATTCCAATCCTTTTAGCGAAATGCAAATGTTAACATTTTTTTTTTTAACTTTTGTATGTACAAACCACAGCCTAATTAAAATTAGACTTGTAATTCCGTTCCTCTACGATACACTCCAAATTTACAAGTATTGGAATGTATCGAAGAGGAATCAAATCACAAGTCTAATTTTAATTAGATTGTTACAAACCATTATATCCACTATCTTCAAATTTTCTTTGAATAGACAAAATATAACATAGTGCTTGACCAATGCCACTTTCATCTGCAAGGCTAGTAGTTGTGAATCCTCCAAGACTCTTGAGGGACCCTCACTTTTGTCAATTGATGTCGTGATCCGGCAGCTTTTCTTTAATAAGAGGGTAAGCTTCAAGAAGTGATGTCTTTAAGAATTCAGGAGAAAAGTTCTTTCTGTCGACAAAATGAGAAAAAATATTCATTAATTGTGGCCATCTTGGATTTCAAATCGGCACAAAGGGTGAACAAGATCGAGTCCTAGGGACCTTAATTTAGATGCTGACAAGTTACCTGGCCCCTTAGACATGGTCCCAATTTTCGACACAGTGGTCTTCAATTGCAGAATTTTCAAATTTCATCTGTAAGACATAGTATTTTCAAATACAAATACAAACCCCTGGAAATGACAGATCTGATTGCCTCTGAGGACAACTTTTCATGATACCCTCAGTGTCTGCTTAAAACCAAATCATGCACATAACAATGCTGTTAGAATTCCGCTAGCAGCAATTCATTGTACATTGTAATTTGGACACTTAAAGCAAATTACATGTTTGCCAAAACTAGAAATTGAGGCTTGTAGGTTTGAATGTTAAAACGTTAAATTTGGCCACAAATATAGATTATATTAATATAAATTCTGGACGTCTTGAAGAAAGATTTGTACCAATCTCACAATAACTGGCATGGATCAGTACTGGCAACAAAGATATTCAATATTTCAAGCATATTGGACAAAGAATTGGACTAAGATGAACCACAATAGAGTAGCTAAGCTAAATAACTTGATGTCATGTCAACTGCAGACATGACATGGTTAAATTTACTTTTATTTGAATGATACAGGGGAATATCCAATTTGGTTGAAATCAGCCAGTGGTTCTTGAGAAGTATAAACAATTGAAAGTTACGGAAGTTGCCAGACAAATTGTCACAGGCCGGGACATACCAAAGTCCTTAAAAATGGTAGTCATTGTTCATCATTTAATAGGGCAAATACACCAACATTCCATGCCTGCTGCACACATACTAGTCAATAAATGCATTGTAAACATTACACACATTGGGGCACATCCTAAATTACCTTAGCTGTTCATCAGAAGAACAACAACACAACAAGAGGATATAGCGTAAATAATATTGATTTTGATAGGAACTGTCCGAGTTTTGGTCCCGTCCGTTGGAACACAGTACCTGAAAATGATCTTCTTCTCCACCAATCCAGCTTTCAATAGTGCTACCTTTTCTTCCTTATTTGGAACATAGTCCTAAAATAACCCAAGATGAATACTAAAACTGTAAGCCACAAACAACATTATATCCCTATCTCCAATATTAAAAACAAGAGTATTGCAAGAGCCCGAAATGTCGAACCGGATGACAATCACTAGATGTAAACAAACCATATATATGTTGATACCAATATAAAATGTATCCAAACTGAAGTGAAAATATGACGGAATGATCTGCTAAAAAACAAAACTCACAAACAGAGTGAAACTACAATAAATCNCCCCCCACTTTAAATACACACAAAAAGTTCAAAATTATATTTAAAGAAAAAAACAAATGTATAATAAAGAAAATGAATGATTGTCAAGCAATGTTCACTTCAGTTCCATTAGATTAACTGATAAAGGGAAGTGCTTTACCCTTTGGTACATGGCAGACCATGGTAAAGGGTTGTTTCGCCCCAAATCCCGTTCGCCCTAAGGGTTGTTTCGCCCCAAAACCCGTTCGCCCGAGGTTGTTTCGCCCTAAAAAATATTCTTTAATTCATAAATATCATGTTAAAAGTTTAAAAAAAACCTTATCTTTCTCTTGAATCCAGATATAATATACGTATAATTACGTGCCGAAAGATGAAGCCGACAACGGACAAACTAATATCCGGAATATACTGCACATTAAAATCAGTAATGTTGTTCTTTATAAAATCACCTGTACATGTTTTAACGTTAAAAATGTAAAATAGAAAAAATTATACAACTTCTAACAAGCAAGCTGTGTAGCCAGACACGGTCTACAAACGAAGTGTAGTTCCGTGCCACTGCGTACGGCCTCCTTATACGTCCAAGGAAATATCTGTCAAAATAGAATATAATGATAAGATATGGACATATAATGAAACTAAATTAATTTCTCTAAGTACATAGATAGTATAATATATAGATAAGATGTTGACATATCATGAAAATATAATAAATTAATAGTTTCTCTAGAGTTAAAATGAAAGTCAATATGATCCGCAAGAATGGGACGGCGGGATGTTCGATAACACCATCAACGATGAGATTAATTGAAGAATGCCACACTCCCGTTACCAAGTCTTCTACCTCAATCTCGTCACATATCATCCTATTATTTTCAAATAGTAACAGTCTGGTGAATAACGTTTATGTTGAATGAGTGGTTTGTGATAGTGGGACCATTGAGAAATTTGTACACCGCAGTAAAAACACATGACGTTGTCACAGATAGCAGAGTAAAAGAAACCTGTTGTTGGGACACTTCACTCGAGGGCCAGTGCTGGAATAATTTCACTCGGTCTTCAAGGAACAAATAGTCAGAATGAGTAGGGCTAATATCCGTATATGTCCATTCCAAAGTCCTAAAAAACACGATCCAGGTTGATTAAGCGGTGGATTGTGTCAAAGATTTCACACTGGTTGTCTTCCGATTTCCAAATAACTTCAAACCAATCTTTACAATGGAATTTCTCCTTGTAGATATGATTTTGATTTAAACATTTTTCTATCATTCAACAAAAAGGATTAGGCACAAGTTATCTCAACTTAGAAACGCCCTCTCCAATACATTTCATTATATTGATTACATGACAACAACAACAAATATATTTATAATATATATGAACAAAGAAGAAAGGAAGGGAAAAGGGAAGAAAAAGAAATTTAGAAGAATAAGAAAGAGAGATGATACGATATAACTACTGACCTTAAAATCTGTTACTATTTTTAATGTAGGTTTGGACTATATGGAAGATATTTTCATTGTCTTCATCTGACAAGTTTGGAGAACCCTACATAAAAACATTTAATAACGTGAGATATTATCAATCAAAATTTGTCTTTGTCTGATATACAGCATACAATCAAAAAAATAATGGACTGCATTTTCACATTCATTTCCATATGCACACATGCACACATTGGATCACCTACAATATTAACTCTATACAAATCATAATTTAAACTACTACATGAATGACGCAATCGTGTATGTAAAATATTTAGTTTTCGATTTCCTACATGAAAATAATTAGGCAACAAATAACCTTGGTTACGCTGAATCGATGATTTAAAAATGTTAACGGATGGCTGCTCTCTGACAGTATTTGGTAAATCGTTCCATAGAAGAAGGAATAAAGGAGTGGAATGAACTAGACAGTCGGAAATTGGGAACAGTGTAGTTTTCAGTATTTCTGAAGTTGTAGCTATTGCGTTCGCATACTTTAGGAGGAAGAATGTTAGTTAAATAAGAAGGTGTTTGTTTATAATGGATTTGGTACATTAGGGAAAGTTTCTTAAGTTTTCTTCTTTCAGATAGAGGTTCAAGTTGGGATTCTTGATACAGTGATCTACAGGCATCTAAATAAATTGATACATGTAAACATACGGGGACAGGCGGGGACATGTGACACTTAGCTTGTTATCACACATACCGGGGCGCATGGGGACGGACCCACCTGGTAGTACCACACAACGGCGGGGCTAGCGGTACCCGGTAGTACCACACAACAACCGGGGCAGGTAGGGCCACCTGGTAGTACCTAACACCTCATAAGGGGACGGGTTGGGGCATTGTTTTAGGGCGAAACAACCTGGCGCGAAACAACCTAAGGCAAACGGGATTTGGGGCGAAACAACCCGGAACTGCAGACCATATTACAATTAAAATCGTTCCTTTATATGTTATAAATGAAATATATGTAACAATGCATCTCGTTGTGAGCTCATTTTGTCATAAATACTAACTGTATAGTCAAAAATCAAAATTTGTTCATGCATCAGTAACTCATAAACACTAAAACTACAACTTAATTGATCTGTGCTCGCAAGGGCACACAAACCGATGGCCCCATTGTGGGCGCTGTTGCAGACTTCTGGCCTTTCCGGTAATTAAGGGCAAAAATATTTCTTACAAAGTTTGTTACTGAGGTTGGCCTTTATCTCTGTTGAAATCGACCTGGGCGAGGAACAATCTCACATGCAGTGGCCCCAGACATGTTACAAGCAGTGGCTTCCGATGTAGAATTTGAACTGCAAGGAGCATGTAGTAGATCTGCCTCTGTCAAATCAGCAGCAGCAGCCTGTCTCAAATATTCTGCTGTTCTGTCTGTCGACTCATAACTTCTACCATAGGAAAGTAAACTATGTGACACAGAATGGCCTGGTCGGCTGGCCGAATGGCCGTCGCCAAGTCGCAATACAGGGCCCTGCACATCCATTGTTCGCCAAGTCGCAATCCATTGTTACGTATCAGACATTATGAGATAATTCCGGATATCCGTATCCGTCTGTGTCCTAACATTAGTCACACCCTGGAACTCTTCAGTGTCATAAGTCTTTTAAGTCAGTCATCATTCCACCTACAAATGCAGGCGTCTGTTCGCACTGTTCGCACTGTTCTTCCAGTCGTTGTAAGTCTGCTGTCGTCGATTTTAGTGTGTTGATTTTTGTTTAAATCAGTGTAGAGCAACGGATGGTGTTATCGACAGGGGGGTTTTATCGACCCCCGGTTCTATTCATCTCGTTTTGGATCGATTACGAACCGTTTTGGTACACTTACCTTTTCGGAATCCCTCGGAACACCGATTTAAACAAATTTTCTGAACTTTTTTTCTTCCAAAGAGAAGAATCGATCCTGTTTTTAGACCTCCCTTACGGGCCCCGATAAGACATGTTTGGCACTTCGAATTTTGATAACATTTTTATCTGAAATATTTGTCACATAATGGTGTAATCCAACTTCACTCATGAAGCGTCTGCAACGTTTGTCAGCGTATCATCTAGTTAAGGTCGGAAATAAGGTTGTCGATCGACGACAGACCGATATAAAAAAGGCGATAAAACGTCAGAATAATTCGGACTAGTACCCGACAACAATAGTGTTGCTAAAGTCTATCCAGTAAACAGACATAACTTTACAAGCATAACTAAAATACTGAAAAATCCAAATTTTTCAATAAAATCCATGTAGATAAGTCTTGTAAATATGCTCAATATAAACTTCAATTACAAATTATGAAAAATATCTATATTTGAATACACTGCAGTCATATCTAGACAGAATATAATATATATTGAAAATTAATCAATTACATAGATCAAATGTTGATGAAAATTGTTCTGTTAGGCAGGAGGTATATAACTAATTATCTTGTGAACATTAAGAACCTAAAAACATTTTCACAATGATTATTTTAAGAAGATTCAATTATGTTTTTCTTGAATTAAATTTCTGATCTCTATCATTGCAGGATAATTCAAAATTTTTGGGCTGTTTGAATGCATCACTGGGAATCAAAATAATATGAAATTGGGGTGGGACACCATATTGAAAGGGAACCAGAAAATGTGTGTGATCAAAATGCTGTGACGGTGACTGTTTGCGCATGCGTGCAGAAAAGGTAGCGTGTTTGTTTACATTTATGACTTGACATATCACGTGACATGTTTATACCTTTTTTAAGCAATTGGACACACGTCAGAACAAATGAATGTATTATGAGAGATTAATAATAGAAATAATTAACATTTGAATTTAGCCGTCGATAACTACCTCCACCTGTCGATAATTTAACTGCCCCTGTCATTAATGCCACCAAAACAATGATTTCTCCCGCGATTCGTCACATGTACGCTAATTGCAGATGATGAAATAGAGCATGTTTCCCGACTTTTTCGAAATGCCATCATAAAACGGTATACTGGAAAAACAAGTTTGAAGCTTAGACTGTCGATAACTGCCTCCATTGCTCTACAATTAAAATTCCTGATATATATGCAGACGTATTGAGGTAGCGAAACAATTTCACTAACCCGCTGCCAGCAACATTAACTGCGGATAAGCACGTGACCTTAATGTTCATTTTTTCATGGTTAAGACTGTTGAAGATAGCAAATAATGTTACTACCCTTCCATTGTCCGTTTCTATCCACTAAGTACACTAGGGTAAGCGACACATTCTGGAATTCAAGAAGTCTCCACACTCTGAATGCGGTTCGATCATACTCGTCTCTTACTTCTCTATGGGTAGTTTAACCGGTTCTCTAACCCACAACTCCAATTATTGATTTGTGGAATATTCATAACTTCATTATGCCGGTTATCATAAGTTCCATTAATACCCCCAATAACTATTATTGTTGCATTTGTTAAAATTAGCGATACAGTATCACTAAATTATAACGTATGCTTACCTGTGAGTTATTTGTCTTTCTGGAGCTAATAACAATCAGGTGTGAATTTAATAGACAGGTCGTTTCCAACAGTACAATGTTTTCTGTGGTGTATGGGTCCCAACATGTAGAGGCATACTCGATAGTCGGTCTTACTAGAGTGGTATACGTTTGTGATTTGACTTCCCTGGAGCATGATGACATGTTGCATCTAAGGAAGCCCAGTGTTTTGTTAGCCTTACTTACAGTGGAGTGGATGTGTTAACCCCAACTGAAGTCATCCGTTAGAGTAACCCCAAACTACTTGCTGGCTGGTAGGTTATCCAGCAGCGTGTTATGAAGCTGGTAACCGAACTTAACTGGGACTTTATTTTTGGTTACATTGATTATACAACATTTGCTGGCATTGAAGTTCATTTGCCAGTCAGTCTCCCATTGTTCTAGCCTAGTAAGGTCTGCCTGGAGTTGTTTGCAGTCGTCCTCAGACATTATCTCCTTATAGAGTAGACAATCTTCTGCAAACAGTTTGACCTTGCAGGAGACTGACTGTACCAAGTCGTTGTAAAAGAGGAATAACAGTGGCCCACTGACTGTCTCCTGGAGTACTCCAGAAAGGACAGGGGCCTTGTCAGATTTAGTCCCATTAAATAAAACAAGTTGGTCGAACGCTTTAGAAAAGTCTAATAGGGCAATGTCTGTTTGTGCTTTGTTGTTTATGTTCCTAAGGATGTCATCTACCGTTATAATTAGTTGCGTTTTCGTGTGTTTGGATCGAAAGCAGTGTTGAAATTTGGTGAGTATATTGTTGAGGTCTAAGTGATCCATGACATTGCTATGAATGATGAGTTCTAGTAGTTTACAGGTGATACAAGTTAGAGACAGGACGATAATTTTCTGCAGCTTGTTTGTCACCTTTTTTTAAGACGGGGACAATGTGTGCCTCGCGCCAATCTTGCGGGACTGATCCAGAGTCTAATGATATTTGGAAGAGTTTTGTCAGTGCTAGTGTAATTTCTGCAGCAAGCTCTTTAGTATTCTGGATGGAATTGCTATCAGAACCAGATGCCTTGTGTATTTCTAGTCGCTTCAGGAGCTTAAGGACACCTGGTTCACTAATTTTGATATCTGGCATAGATTTATATTTGCTTTCTGGAAGTTTTGGGATGTTGGCTTTGTCTTCTAGAGTATAGACCGAATGAAATTGATTGTTCAGAATTTGGGCTTTTTTTGTAGGTTCAGAATAGATGATGCCGTCAGAAGGATCTCTAATAGAAGAAATGTTGGAAGAGTCTATATTTTTACTTTTGACATAGCTCCAGAACTTTTTAGGGTTTTCTTTAGCTTCCGGGCTAATCACACTATACAAATATGAGCTATGAGCTTTCCTAGTTTCCTTTTGCATCTTGCTTTTGATGTTTCTGTATCGGTCCCAGTCTTCAGGTGACCTGCTTTTGACAGCTTTATTGTACGCTCTGCGCTTTTGTCTTGATAACCTGTTTATGTGGTTATTGGCCCAGGGGTTGGTGAATTTAGCCCTAGAGAGATTTTGTGGGACATGTTTATCAATAGCAGTTGTTATGGTTTCTTTGAACACTGACCACGCCTGTTCAACATTAAGTTCGGTTGTTAGAATTTGGTCGAGTTTAGCTTTAACATCAATTTTCATCTGTGCAAAGTCTGATTTCTTCCACAGGAATATATTTCTTCTGGGTAATTTCTTTGGTGGACTAGAAACTTTGTTGTCTATAAGGACTATTTCATGGTCTGAAACTCCGGGTATTGGTTTGCATTTGTCAGGAATAAGTCTAGGGTATTTGTGATTCTCGTTGGAAAGGTTACAATTTGTTCAAGTGAAAGGTCAGGGTTGAAGGGGTTAGGGTTAGGGTTGGTGTACCAGCCTTGAGATTAAAATTCAATCTGTATTTTCCACAACAACCTAGACAACATGACAATGTTCCTATTTACTAGATATTTAACTGTTAAACTTAAGTGTCATAAAAAATAACCACCTACTGAGAGCCATTATAATGCAGCTAGTAAAAAATCAAAATCAAATGCTTATATGGCCATAAACGTAAACAATAATCAATATGACAATCGAAGAAATGTGATTATTATAATATATTTGGTCATGGATAGCAATCTTATTATGAATTTCGTGATTTTGTTACGTTTTCCTTATTACTTTGAACATGAATTATTTAAGAATAATACTATACGCTAATAAGGATCGACACTTTTGGACTTTATGTAAAATATTCAGGACACCAGCAATTATTAAGAAAAAAGAGCCAAAAAACAGACACAGAGGTAAAGACTTACAACTACAAATAGTACAACGCCACAATGATAGGATTACAGAATGTTTCATTACACCAGCTGAGATGAAATACAGTGATAGGATAGGGCTGCTCATGGTGTAAGGGAGGCAATCGTGAAGTGTTTAATACCAAGGTGTACATTGTGAGGGCAGGTGTGTGCAGGGAAGAACAGAAATAACTGGCTAACAGACAACTTTTACTTACCAAGTGATTTCAAGGTCAGCGGTGGAGAGGCAACTGTGTCAAAAATTCTGATGGAGAAAGTTAATGTCCGTCTTGGTGCATGACTCCGTGTTGGAAATGACCCTGTGGAACCTGTCGACCCAAAAGGTAGAATCTATGAACAGACGGCTGAAGCGGTCTCTCCCATCAAGTGTGAACTTTACTCGTAAATTTTCACGAATAGCTCATAGGGCGGTGTATTCTGTGAACCATGGACCGGCCCGGGACTGCCATTAAAGAACTGTGTAGTGGTGTTGGGTCACTGCTAGATCCAAGGACCTAGATAAAGAACAAAAAAGACATTTGTACAATAAAGCACGAAGTCAATCATTGCGATGTAAAATTCACAAGAGAAATAAGAGACACAAAATATTCAAATTATATGACTGTAAAATTGATGAAGAGATTTATATGAAAGACAGAGTTATGATTGAGAAAAAGAAATGAAACATTAAAATATTGAGAACTTATATATTAAAAAAAACCAAAGACCAATTTTTATCTTACATTTTGTACATGAAAGAAAGGAAGATAGAAAGATAGATAAATAA